TCCTGTTTTTTTTCCCCCCAGTACCCCCCCGGGGGTGCCCCCCCCCCCCCCCCCCCTGAGTACCCCCCCCCCCCCCCTGTCGCGTTTAGATACTAGTGGATGCTCACGAGCCGGAGGTGGCCGGCGCAGTACTCTTGGGCGACGCGTTGAACTGAGGAGAGGCAGCAACGTCAGACCATCTACCTGAAGCCCCTCCTCATCTACAACTGGCGCTATGCTTCCTTCCACCTAAAGGACAGGCGATGATTCGCTTGAAGTAGGGCGAGAAAAGGAAGCAACTTAGGCTTGGTGACGACAAGGTTGTGGTGTAGAAGGTAAAAGGGTGCTGTTGCGGGATGGTATTTTTGAAGCGGCCTTCAGAACGTCTCTGTGGGGGAGAAGACGGCGACCAATTGTTTCATCCATGCGTCTGCGCGCACGTCGCCTCAGACCAATCAAAGGGCCGAGGGTAAATCTGAGAGGGTTTATACCAGAACCATTGTTACACGAAGATTTCGCGGTGAAACTAGCGTTGGTGGTGGATCCGTTGGCGGTTGGCCGTACCGTACAGCGTTCTCTTCTCCAAGGTGTTGCTGGGTGGAGCCGGCAGGGGTTCGAGTGGGGGTCGGGGGCGAACCTCCCTCAGCATGGCAAAACGGCAATAATAACAAGACACCGAGATTGGTCGAAAAGCTTGCGTGCTGCCTCTGGCTTGTTCGCACCCGAATCCTTACCGCGAACACTGGTTACGTGGACGTGTTGCGAGCCCGCTGCCGTAAAAAACACCGAAGATATGTTGACGCCACGGTTGACGAACGCTACACAGCGCTGTTTGTTCTTTTCTTGCTGAGGTTACCGGGCCTGTCAGCAACAACGGCGGTGCCATTCATGTACTGCTCGAAGCTGGGGCTGGTGCCGAACAAAAAACTGGGGATGAGTATTCATGGCTTCACCATGCCACTTCCTCAGAGTGACCTACGAGAGAAGAATACACCCCGATCTGTAGCGTGACACGCCAGGGTGTCGGCTCTGGTTTCGTTTGCTGTGTTTCGAACTCAAGGGCATCAAAGTCAAGTCTTGAGCCAAGCATGTCAAGCCCCTTGTTGCTGCGATGGAGCTCAAGCCCAAAGCGCCGCCAGCTGGCTGTCCTTGCTTTCTATCGTTCGCATACTGTTGCGGCCTTTGGTTGGTACACTTGTTGTCTAGACCACTCCGGGTGTGAACGCTACCCTAGGCCCACTTTCTCTAGGGATCAAAGCCCCCTTTCCGGTTCGAGATCTTATGTGACCGTTCTCTTGCGTGACCCCGACAAACTCATACACCGAAAGGTAGGTGAGTTTACTGGCGCCGGAATAGATGGGACGAACACACACGCGCTCATATTTCGTCGGAATGCCATATCTCGTGTTGTGAGCACTGCCTTTGCCGGTAGCACTTTTGCGTTGAAATCGTTCGACGCTTCAATATAATACACGAAAAGAAAGGTGGCGTGGCAGACAAACACGTCCGGATGCCCACCCAGTGGTGGGCTTGATACTAAAGCGTTTTCCTGCAAGAAAACGGTGGCATTCATCACCAGCGCTTTGCCATGCAGACTTCCTCACAGTGGTACATCAATTATTGTTTGTTTATGTCGCGCACCGCCGAACATCTACAAGAGATCGAGCTTCCGAGGCGTTTGAATGCGGCGGACAGCAATATCGGTTCGTCGAAACTGTGCAGTGGCGTCGGAAAGATCTTCTCTGCCCACACCCTGCGCTTCCCAAACCCGCGAAGGTACAAGAGCCTGCCCGCAATTTGCACTGCCGTCTCTACCCCTACCACGGGGAAAAGCCGCCGGTAAACGGTACCTACGCAACGCTTTGGTCCTCTCCGAAGGTCTTCCTCAACTTATCCCAGTAGTCAGCGGCCCCGGGCTCGTACGCGCCATCCACGCCGTGCAGCATCGCGGAGAGCAGCGTGTTTCCTTCCTCGTCTAAGAAACGAGTGATGTACAAGTCGAACGATCCGCCAGGACTCTGCTTCGTCACCATCTTGATACTCTACATTTCCGTTTCGTGCACCACCATGTATCGGCATGAGCACCCGCGCAGGAAGTAGGGTGCGAGGGGTGCGTAGCAACGCTGGCGTTAGCGCGAGGGGCAAACTAAAAAACTAAAAGAGCGTCTTCCACGAAATCCGTTAACTGTTTGTAAAGACGATTTGCTAAAGTTTCCGTCGATTCGCGAGGGGTACCCCCGACTCTTCCGGCTACTCTCTCCAACTCTCTTGTCAATTCTTTTGGCTCCGTGCTTCCTCCAATGTAACAGAACGTGGAACTGGTAAGCACTCGGTAAACCATGGGACACTAGGACACTAACCAGCATATCCCGTCGCCGGCCATCTAAAAAGGAGCTACAGAAGTTCGTGAGCAGCGGAGGCTCGACCTTGGAGGCACGGCATCGGATAAGAAATTGCTCTCAGTAAGGAAACACACCCTATGAATACCAACACACGAGACTATCGTCTTCGCCGGTGAGACAAAAAAACTGTCAACAGCTGCTCATGCTAATGTCGATGGGACGTCTTGGGGACAGGCATGCCATACGTTCGAAACAAAAGGAACCGCACCGTACCGGCACTACACACATGTGTACGCGCTGATAGCTCAGGGGTAGAGCAATTGATTGCAGCTCAATAGGTCACCAGTTCAAATCTGGTTCAGCGCTTCATTTTTTATTTCCGTTCTGACATTCGTTCTGGTATCGCTCCCAGCCAGCAGCTGCCTTTCACAGCTAGCAGCTTCGTTGCCGTTGCTGTTCTCTATTCCGGTGCCCAGGGATCTGCCTACCGTTTATCGTGCTCAGCATGCAAGGGTGCAAGCCATCTAAGAAGGAGCTATGGAAGCTCGTGAGCAACGGGGGCTCAACTTTCGAGACGACAGGCATGCTATGCGTTCGAAACAAAAGGAACCGCACCGTACCGGCACTACACACATGTGTACGCGCTGATAGCTCAGGGGTAGAGCAATTGATTGCAGCTCAATAGGTCACCAGTTCAAATCTGGTTCAGCGCTTCATTTTTTTCCGTTCTGACATTCGTTCTGGCATCGCTCCCCAGCCAGCAGCTGCCCTTTACAGCTGGCTGCTTCGTTGCCGTTGCTGCTCTCTATTCCGGTGCCCTAAAATCTGCCTATCGTTTATCGTGCTCAGCATGCAAGGGTGCAAGCCATCTAAGAAGGAGCTACGGAAGCTCGTGAGCAACGGGGGCTCAACTTTCGAGACGCGGCATCGACAAGAAGATGCTCTCAGTAGAAGGCGCCAAGGAACACTCCGTATCAACACGCGAATTATCGTCTTCGTCGCCAATGAGACAAAAAAACTGTCAACAGCTGCTCAAACATGCAAACGTCGATTGGACGTTCTGGGCACAGACATGATTGGATCCGTTCGAGTCAGACAGAACTGCGCTAACCCTCTGCGAACCATGTGCATGCGCTGATAGCTCAGGGGTAGAGCAATTGATTGCAGCTCAATAGGTCACCAGTTCAAATCTGGTTCAGCGCTTCATTTTTTTCGTTCTTATATGTCTGTTTCTTTCTCATGCAGCGGGATTCTTAACCCAAAATCCATCAAGATCCAGGATCTACAAAAATTCCGGCTGGGTAAAAGTCCGGCCCCTAAGTGCCACAAATGTTTTTCTCTCTTTTATAGGAAGTACCCCCCTCTTGTAGTGAATCGGATTTGTCAGGCGGATTCTTGGGGGTTGGGTATAGATCGAACCCAGTCGACATAATCATGGAGTGCGACGTGAGTTCTTGACGTATCGCTCCCATCGAGGGCTCCGAGCAACGCTGCGCTGAAGGGTTTGCTATTCTGCACGCTGGTTGTTGATCGTCGCTCGGCACGCTTGCGAACAAAAAGTCATTTCGCATCACACCAAACACGGAGACGCCAAAACGAGCCAAAACGCCACCAGAAAGCAAAAAGGCCCGCGTTTTGTCAGAGACGGGAGGACACAGATACTGATTTCTCGCTCCCTAGGCCACTGATCGAAGCCCGACTGGCCAGTATGTGCTCTCTGTTCCTTGTTCTCTTTCGGAGTAGATCTGCTCAGCTGCTCGTTCATCCAATCATTCGAAATCGTCGTCTGCGTGTGCACCAGCTGTCTGTTGAAAATTGTTTTCAGGCCTTCAACAAATCAGTCTATTTTCGAGTGAAGCAGAAGAGAAAAAATTATACCATATGGTAGTTAGTTCGAAAAAGCAACGGACACCATGCGTATGCTTCTCTCCGTCGATTGAGAGTACGAGCCGCTGAACAAATCTACACCGGCAGAGAGCAAGGAACAGAGAGCACATCCTGGCCAGTCTGGCTTCGATCGGTGGCCTGAGAGCGAGAAATCAATTGCGGTGTCCTCCCGTCTCTGCCAACCGCGTCCCTTGTTGCTGTCTCGTGGCGTTTGGAGTCTCTCCATGTTTGGTGGGATGCTCATCAATGACTTTTTTACGCACATGTGCCGAGCGGTCATCAACAACCAGCGTGCAGAATAGCAAACCCTTCAGCGTAGGGTTGCCCGGATCCCTTGATGGGAGCGATACGTCAAGAAGTCAGTTCGCTCTCGCCGATTATGTCGCCTGGGTTTATCAGCGGTGAAATTGTTGGGACAGAAAATCCAGGAGGGCAACGTCCTGGTTACTGGCCAAATTTCTGGGTGAACGCAACACGGATTCCTGATCCTGTATTGCGTTGACCCGAAAAAGTAACAAATCCGGCTTTACAAGAAGCCGAATTTTGTCGATCCTGGATTTGATGTTTTTTAGGTTAAGAATGCGGCTCTACAAGAAACAGCCCAACATTCGTTTTTCCTGGTATCGCTCCACAGACAGTTACCTTTTACAGCTTCTTTCGTTGCCGTTGCTGCTCTCCAAGGGTCGCTGTTACGCAAAAAAAAAAAAAACTGTCGTGGTGTGAATCGTCACCTCTGGTCTCACTCGCGAAGACGGTAAAAAATGCTCTGTACGTAGACTATGCAATACTCACCTTGACTTTGTCGCAGTTGAGGTGGCACTCGAACCCCTTGCCCTCGGAAACGGTAGCGTACCTACATCGAACGAACGGTCGCCGTCACGGTAAACAAGATCAATGCGGGCGACAGGCGCATCTACCACAGGGTTTGCACCGGAAAAAAAACTGACAGTCCCGTACGCTCGTTCAACCTAAAGTTCAGCGGCCGAACCTGCAACACAAACAAATTGGTCTGAACCTGGGCACGCGCACCCACCTGCCCTTGGGAAGATCGGTGTACCGGAGATTGTCAAACGACCCCACAGCCTCCAGGATAGCGCCGTCGGTTACGGAAACAAAGCGCGTAGGGCCGAGTAGAGCACAGTCGCCCAAGAACTTTTCCAGTCTTTCCCTTCCTTTCAGGTCCTGCGACGGTGGAAAACGAAATCAGCAGCAGCACCAGCGAGCAGAGGTCTACACCGGTGTAGGCATCTTACAGCAGTAGGAACTGGAACCAAAGTGCAACGGTGTACGTACGTATACAGCCTTAACAAGACCCACGCATGCGTTCGCTCTACTGCAGTAGACACGTAGCCCTGTGTTCGAGCAGCCGGGCCGAGAGAGGTGATGCGTGCATTTCGTAGAGGACGAGAGAGAGAGAGAGAAAGAGCCAGCGGGGGTCAGCACTGCAACTTGACTCAAATGGAAGCGGGGACGGCAGTTTTTGCTTCTAGTGCGTCGGGTATCAAGCATTAGGGCAACGGAACTAAAAACTCACACTCGGTATCGAAGCTGACAGGCCTTGGACCCCTCGCGCCTTCCTAGCGCCAGTGTTGCGGTAGCCCAGGAGGTGGTGCTCATGAGGTTGGCGAGACGCATGTTTCGAGAAGGCTGACAGAGAGGAGTGTGGAGCCACCACGACGAAGGCTAACGCACCAATTGCGCCCAACCACAGCGCCATTGCTGCGAGTGCGACATTCCGGGGGTGAGGCATGCTTCGATGTGCGGTAGCAGGGGCGTGTGCACAATACGGCGGCAGGTATTATGGAATGAACACCACCAGCACTTGCTCTCTTTAGAAGCTCTGGGAGGGGCTCGAAAACAGTACAAAATATGCGGCCGGGGTGCACACGGGGCTCCGTGTCATGTAAGGTCTTACAGTCCCGTGAGATAAGCGGTTGGCAGCAGCAGCAGCAGCAGCAGCAGCAGCAGTGTAGCGTAGCTCCGCCTAGCCACGTACGACACTCGTACTCGCAGACAGAGCATCCACCCTTGGAGAACGTCTGTGCGATGCCTCCAGGACGTAGCTCGGGAGGTGGGAGAGGCGGAGGGGGCCGAGGTCGAGGTCGAGGTCGAGGCGGCGGCGGCGGCAGGAGGCCAAGAGGCCGCGGCGGGCGATCGTCTGGGAGAGGCACCGCCCTGCCCAGCTCAATCACAGGTCGAGGAGGAGGAGGGGCCAAGGGTCGCGATCGGCGTCAGAGGAATGGAGGGGACGGGAGAGGTGCTGGATATGAGTTTGATGTGAGTGGGACCAATAGAGGGTGCGGCCCTTTTGCATCGACCGTGGTTTTGCTCGCACAGCTGAACCACTGATATCTAGGTGGAGTCAGTATTACCAAGATGCACATGCCTCTTGCGGGTCACGGCAGTACATACGTATGGTAATCCTTTGATGGGATTGTTCCATCAGGTGGCTCGTGGGTAAGGTTTGTGCTCCATGCAGTAGGAGCTATGTAGTGTAACATACGATCGCATTACGACTACGCTAAGGCCTCCGCCCTATTTGCACACATCTCTGTGGATCAATATGTTGCCGATGCCGCGGCATGCATTCGCCGTGACGAAAATCAAACTCTGAAGGACGGGGGAGGGGCAAGCGACAGGCACAAGTACGACGACGAAGCGGGAGACAGCGATAATGGGCCCGGTCCGGAGGACTCCGACTTTGAGGATGAAGAGGTCGACGAGGATGCTGCCTTCGACAGCGCCGACGAGGCACGGTGAGTAAACAACAAACAACGACCGAAGCATCCTCAACAAGGTAATGCCAGCCAAGGCAGGGTGCTAAAAACGCAGGCATACGGCATTGCAGTAGGTGGCTGGCGTTAGTGTGGCTCCTGATAAGCCGACTTGGATGCTCTCTGACCTTGGTGTACTTGTGGCATCACCCTGTCCAATTGGATGGTCGGTTTAAGTGCTGTTGTTGCTTTGCATGTACATGACGGGAGACCCAGAACAGCATGCAAACCAAGCGCTTCACCCACGAAGATGAAACGAACAACAGCCGGGCACCTCTGAGTTGATTATTTACAGGGCTAAGAGCGTGTGGGGCCGCTGTAGCCCGCTTGCTGTTGTTCTCCGCCCTACTTTCGGGCGTGTACCGGGTGCCAACAGCTTGTCACATAGTTTAGGCTTGCAAATCTCCCCGCCACAACACGAATGCTGGCATCCTTGTCTTGCGCACTCAGCAACTTTGTTCGGTTCGTATTGTCGAAGGTACGGAGAACTCATGGACACCATCCTGCAGCGACGGAGCGGCAAGCAGGGTAAGGGGCGTCGTCCGCCTACGTGGTCCTTTGTGTCTTGGCCGTTGAATATGGGTGTGTCATTCATGGTTATGCTCGACGGTTTGGAAGATGCGGATGACGGGCAGAGCGTCGTGTCGCCTGCTCCCCACGATCAAAATGAGGGCTAAGGCTGCCGCGTGCCGTCGTGGTGATAGGTAAAGCGCAAGGTTTTGGGCGAACGGGATGAGTATTGACGACGAACGAGGGTTTACCGTTTGCACGCACGGAATGTTTTTGCGGCGAAGTCCACCCCCAAGGTTTTCAAGGTTCTACTCCGCACGTGGTGCGATCATCAGCAGCAATTCCTGCCTGAAGACCTGATTGATAGCTCTCCCTTCCGTGTTTCCTCGCGAATTATTGCCGCGCAGAAATTAGTTTCTTGGGGGCTTTTTCATCGTGACTGTTGTTGCATCCGTGTTTCTGCATGAGATCCCCGTTAAAACCTCCCGCGGCCCTGTCCGTAACACGCGCAGGAGGTAGTAGCGACGAGGAGGGAGATGAATCAGAGGACGAGAGTGAGGACGACGGTGGAGAGGGTGGGGGTATGTCCGTTATGGACATGCTCGCCGCCAACGAAGCGGCAGAGCTAGCCCAGAAGAACGGTGTTGTTGCCGGCACCGGCAAGGGCAAGGGTAAAGCCAAGGGTGGCGGAGGCGTGCAGGAGAGCAGTCGCACGGCCGAGGTCAGCAGCGCCGAGAGCTCCGAGGGGGACGCGATGGACGAAGACGTTTCGGACGAAGAGGCACTGGAGGATGACTCGGATGATGATGATGAAGATGAGGACGAGCGGCACGCGCGACTGATGGGCTTCGTGGGGGGCCTTGGGGATCAAGCGGCGGCGGCGCAGCGAGCGGCCGAGGACAGGCGCTCCTCGCAGCTGCTCAAGGAGGGGGAGTTCAACTCTGCTAGCGGTGGTCTCGCGGCAGGCCGCGGCGGCGGCGCACGAAAAGGTGCCGTCACCATGGAGGTGAGACACACGGGGCGCGTTTCTAGAAAGGGATAGTGCGGTGAGGCACGCTATCTACTGGTTTCTTTTTCTTAACGTCACGATTATCTACCGGTACGAATGCTCGGGAAAGCGTTTCTTCTTCTTCTTGGTTAAAAGAGAGGGGCACCTTAGGAAAACGCTGCTGCTGCTGTTCTGGCGCCTTGCGTGCATGCCAGTTGCAGCACTTGTTACAAGGAGAATCGCGATGTGCTGTCCCGCGCTTTGCCAGCGGCCTGCAGCTGTCGATCACCGTCGCCGCCTGCAAGGATACCATTTACGGGTAGCTTGTGATCCTATTACCCTTCCGACGCATCATCTCCCCGTCGTTCTACCCCCCATTCCCTGCAGTCCCTCACGCGACCGCGTTTTCCAGTGCTCCCGTTCTCCCGGCATGCTTGCCGCTGCGATTAAGCGTCACCCCACCCTCTTGAAACACCAAGCTAACCTGAAGCGGACCTTGCGCCGCGTAACGCCCCCCCCCCCCCTGTACGTGTACCACAGACTCTGATGGGATCTTTGCAGAAGAGCAAGGGGTTCGCCGCGGTGAAGAAGCAGGTGGCCGCTTTTTCCGGCAAGTCCGGTGCACCCGCCGCGCCGGTGTCGAAAACCGCGGAGCTCAGGTGGCCACCAAACGAAGGCTACACGCCATGTCTCTACACACTGCTGTGCTGTTTTTTTGGGAGTAGAGGGGGCGTGCTTGCGGTGGGTGTCACCATCGGTGCCAAGGCTCAGTTGGCGCGGCGTCCATCTTAGCCATTCGGCGCTAGATCTGGAAAATCGTTATTGGCGAGCTCGCTCGCTGCTGCTGCTGCTGCTGCTGCTGCTGCTGCTGCTGCTGGGTTGTTTTCATTTTGGCTGTAGGGTGTCGTAGCTTTTGTCTGCTTTGCATGCAGACAGAGGTGCAAGTGCGCCTTCCATGTGCGCCTTGCAGCTGCTCTCCGGCCCCCCAGGCTGCCACTGCAGCTGTTGTAAGCAGCTCACAGTCCCGGCCTCCTGTCGGTGTGATGGCACACACTCCCGAGGGTTGCATTTGTGATTTCACCACCATGTTTTGGCGTATACTACGACGGCCGGACAACCAAAGACAACATAATTCTGCGTGAACGCCTTAGCCATGGCGCACAATCGTAGAAGACCGACTGGGGGCACCGTGTAATCGCGCACGAAGGTCACATGTTGGAGATTCTAACCTCCCACCGGCGTACCCCCCCCCCCCTGTGTGGCCGACTTGGGGACATCGGTGTCAGGGCCGAGAGAGAGATGGCCTACGACAACCGCAAGAAAGACATGGGCAAGTGGGTGGCCCCGGTGCAGGCGAACCGCAAGGCCGAGACGCTGGACTTTGCCCCCACGGTAAGCGCACCACGGTGGTGCGGGTGCCGGATGCTTGGAAGCAGCTATACATACCGTGCTGCTCTCATGGCGAAAATGTGTTCGCAGCTTTAGCCCTGCTGCGTCTCTGTGCGCTGTTGTGGGGCCGACTACACGATATGGGTAGGCTGAAGCCTGCTTGTGATCCACGGCCGTGTTCGGCGACTTTGTCCGATGCACCGTTCTTGTCGCAGCGGTGTCACAAGTCGCTAGTGCATCTTCAACCTTGCCATGGTAGGGGCTGTTGCGAGAAGGGCTGTTTGCGATTGTTGGCGATGCCCCGTGGCTTGGCGGTCTTCTATACACGTGCGAGCGTTTCTTGTTGCGCGGTGCCTACTCCCCCCCCCCCTGAATCCACCCCCACACGGCCGATATACCTAGGTGAAAACAAACCTCAGCAACGCCGCGCTAGCCTCAAAGATGGAGGCGACGACGGACATGGAGAAGGAGGTGGAGATGCTCCTGACGGCGGGAGGCGCGTCGGAGGCCGGCCTGGCTGAGAACGAGATGGAGGAGCTCAAATCCAAGGTAAATTTTGACGGGACTGTCGCTTCTGCCGCTGCTTGTTGTTGCGGTGGTGTTTTGTTGTGGGTCTCGGGTGATGACCGGTGGAGCTTCCAGCAGGTTCTGGCGGAGCGACTAGCCGTGGATGGTTCCTACTGCTTCTGCGGTGGAATTACTTTCGTTTCGTGTTGGTTTATCAACCAATGGTTGCTTTAGACAATGGTTGCCCTAGCGTCATGAAGAAAGCGATATGATTATGAAATAGGCATCAAGATAGCCTGTGAACAAGATAAGCTGTGACTGATAAACACCAGTGACAAGCACGAGTGAATACCCTATCAGGGGCTACGCAGGTCGGTCGCATCAGGGACACCTGAGTCTCTTGTCGTTGCGTGTGTTTTTATTTAGAAAATGTACCTATTGTCACAGAAACACCATCCGTTCAAGGTAGTGTCTCGATCAACGGAGTGTGTTGAAAACTTTGGATAGTGAGTGCCGAGGGGAACTTGCTGGATACTGGACTCATTTGGGGTCTGTTTAAGCCAGCGTGTTGTTGTCGTTGTTGTGCCAATGTACAGCACGAAAACGCTTGACGATGTTTATTTCGACACCCCGTTTTGGGCGAGCTCTTTCTGCGACACCAGTGTTATTCTGTGGGTCATGAGTGGTACCCGACCTACACCACGACAATGATTGACTTAGCGGTCAAGCTTAGCTTTCAAGGTGCGCTAGTAGCACCCTGTAACTTCACTCGTGGATGGCATGCCGCAATTTTCTGGCGAGGCTTGAGACGAACTAGATATTGACACATGGTCCTGCCCGACAGGCGTACACGGTGGAGGAAGTAAAGGAGCGGCAAGCGGAGCTGTCCAAGATGCGCGCTCTGATGTTCTACCAGGAGAGAAAGCAGCACCACATGAACAAGATCAAATCGAAGGTATCTACGAGTACAGGGAGCAACTTCACTTCGAGATAGCAACATGTGCGCTGCTGGTGTGCGCAACTGCTGTCGGTACACACTTACATATTTTTGCATCCTAGTTGCCGTCCCCCCCCCCCCCCCTCGCCGCCGTGCAACTAGCGTCGGTACACACATATATATTCTGGTATCCTGAGTGCCGCCATCCCTCACGCCCCCCCTCGCCACCTTCGTTTCGTGTCTCTACACAAAAAAGACGGTCATGGAGTAGTTGCACGCCTTTTCAACGCGGTGCACCCGTTCAAACCCCACGTCACCCTTCATAGGGGTGGCGGTCTTGTTCGGTCCCCCTTTCGGACCTCACTTGAGGGCGCAACTGTGAAAGCAGTCACGGACGGTTGTCTTCTACTGCCGTCGTTGTGACAACGTAGTCGTTCCTTGTGTCACCCCAACCACGGCAAGCGCAACGGAAGCAGTCGAAAAGTCCACGACGACCGGCAGGGCCAAACGGCCACGTCGAACTTTGTTGTTCGTTGATTATATCCTGCTGTGGTTTCGATAGCAAGCTTTCGCCGGTTTGTCGATGCCTTCCCACGCCTAATCCGCCGCAGTTCGGGGGTTCCTTTGCACCGCCTGGACTATATACACCACATCGCCCTGCCTACATCCTCTCAACGGCTATCTCAACGACTCTCCATGACTGACTACACCACAACGCCCTGCCTGCACCGACTCCTCTCAACGGCTATCTCAACGACTCTCTATGGCTGACTACACCTCATCGCTCTGCCTACATCTTCTCAACGGCCGTCTCGACGACTCTCTATGGCAAGGTCTACCGCAAGATCAAGAAGCGGCAAAGGGATCGGGCCGGCGACGCGCAGCAGGAGGAAGAGGGCGAACTCGGAGAGGTGGCGGCCCGAAAGAGGGCGGAAGAGCGCATGAGCCTGAGGCACAAGGTATGAACACTCGAGGGCTCCAGAAGGGCAAGAAGAGGCGCGTTTCTTTGTTCGAATGTGGAGTTGCATACCTTCATCCCCTTCTGTAGATACCTTTCCCGGGCTACAGACTGTTTCGAAGGTGTTTTCATGCGCATCGCAATGGTCTTGGCGAGACAAGGCCGGCAACATTGATACCTGACGTGCGTCATGTTGTACTCGTCGATCCTAATGGCTCGCTCCCGTCTTGCTGTCGCCACGACCGCCTACTCTCTCTGCGTTCCTTGCTTCCTGTCTTTTCCCTCCCCCAGAACACGTCCAAGTGGGTCAAGAACGCTCTCCGCGCCAAGGGCGGTGCCGGGAAGGATGACAGGAAGGCTATCGCGGAGCAGCTTAAGATAGGCCAGGAGCTGAGGGCTAAGGTATTGAGGAGTACGGTCTTGTGTAAAATACCATGGGTGAATTCGGTACGGTACGCACCGAGGTATACCGCCGGTATTTACGCCGGTATATACCCTACCGAGCGTCTCGGTACCCTTCGGTATAGCCCTCCGTACCTACCGAAAATGCCCGGTACGCCTCGGTATGGCCCTCCATACCTACCGAAAGTCCCGGTACACCTCAGTACAGCCCTCCGTACCTACCGAAAATCCCGGTACGCCTCGGTATGGCCCTCCATACCCACCGAAAATTCCCGGTACGCCTCGGTATGGCCCTCCATACGTATCGAAAATCCCGGTACGCCTCGATACAGCCCTCCGTACCTACCGAAAATCCGGGTACGCACCGGTATAGACCTCCATACCTACCGAAAATTCCCGGTACGCCTCGGTACAGCCCTCCGTACCTACCGAAAATCCGGGTACGCACCGGTATAGGCTTCCATACCTACCGAAAATCTCGGTATGGCCCTCCATACCCACCGAAAATTCCAGGTACGCCTCGGTATAGCCCTCCATACCTATCGTAAATCCCGGTACGCCTCGGTACAGCCCTCCGTACCTACCGAAAATCCCGGTACGCACCGGTATAGACCTCCATACCTACCGAAAATTCCCGGTACGCCTCGGTATGGGCCTCCATACCTACCGAAAATCCCGGTACGCACCGGTATAGGCTTCCATACCTACCGAAAATCCCGGTACGCCTCGGTACAGCCCTCCATACCCTACCGAGCGTACCCGTACCGTACCGAACACACCATTGCAAAATACTGCCTGTCAACCCGCCGATTCTGTGTGGGAGAAACCCTGTTGTTTGTATGTAGCCAATTTTGTTTTCGGGAGAGGTACGAATAGTTATTGCGAGAAAAATCGTAGGTTTTGGCGACAAGTTCTCAGACCCTCGCGGGAGACGTGTTTTCGCATGAGGGACATGGGTATTCTGATATCGTTTCATAAATGCCCCTTTCTATTTTCTCTTTTCTCATGCACAGAGCAAGGCGCAGGCATGGAGGAACGGCTGACTGCTGTAACGTTATTTTCGGAAACGCATGCTGCTGCAGCAGAAGAACATCCTAAACATGACCTTTGTTTAGGCACACAAGGGCTGCCTGCGTAAGAGTATATGCCCCTGAATCGAACTTGGAAGTTGTGTCGGTAAGGCTAATCTACTGCTGTCCCCTGGGCATGGCTCGCTAAACCTTACCTACCGGTGCATACACTTGATCGGGATCTGGCGTGCTGCGGCAGATGGGCGGTGTCGACGGCAACAGCTCAGAGGACAGCTCGTCATCAGAGGAAGAGGAGGGGGGGGGGGGTGCCAGCAACGGCAAGAAGAGAAGGTCCGCCCTAAAAGACACGGACAGGGAAGAGCTAGAGCGCATCGGAGAAGACGAGGACGGCATCGCGATGAGCGGGAAGGTACACCTACACGCGTTTGGCTGTGGAGTTAATCGTTTCGCGAAATTATTTTCGCTGCGCTACTCTTACGTGTTCATTGGGTCCCAGACGACCTACCGTGTTGAGTGATATAGGGAAACTCCAAAGAATGTATGCATCTGGTTGTGCGTCGGTGGAAGGAGAAACAAGGCGGGACTGAAATCAGTTGCGGTATTTTTGTCTGCAGGATGAGTTGAACCCTAGATAGATGCATGGCTTCCAGATGCCCCGGTAGAGACGATGACATCGACTGACAGTATTGATCGGCATCTGTGAGAATCTGCCGGACACGATAGCTCCTCCCCCCCCCCGTGACTGCTACCCGCGGCCACCTCGGTACGTGCGAATCTCGCCCCCTGCTCGGCATGTCTCGCCTATTCGGAGCTGATCCCACACACGTACCGAATGCTACGAAAGAAAGCCGTGCGCATGCCCGTAATGGTGAGGTGCACCTGTTTGTAGCCACGCCAGTTCTCGGCGACAACGGCGACTGCACCTTTAACATCAACTTACCCTCGCCACCGTGCCCCCCCCCCCCCCCCCCCCCCCAAAAAAA